AAAATACTCGGAAGTTCAGTTATCTTTCAATAGATGGAGAAAAAACACTTGGAAGTTCAGTTATCTCTAAATAGATGGAGAAAAAATACTTTGAAGTTAAGTTATCAGAGGCGACTGCAGGAATGAACTCTCATTGCAGGTACTTACACAAAGAGCGCTCTGATATCCAAAGTCGCAAAAAGTTGCCGAATTTTTTATTTCACTGATTTTCCTAAAACTTATATTACTGTCAAATGCAAAAATCAGATTGGACAAATTTGGACATTTTTACTTACACTTATTTTAATTTTTTTACATAGTAAGTTTATCTACAATCAATTATATTTCCATATAACTAATTATATTTTAGCTCCTTTGTGGCACAGTGCAGCGGCGGGCTGGAGGAACTGACCTCGCGGGCCATAGTTTGGTGACCCCTGGTCTAGATTAACAATTCAACATCGCACCCTTTTACTTTAGTAGCTGATATGCCGCAAGGATCGGTACTAAGCCCCACGCTATACAACATCTTTGTTAATGACATACCTTCCCCCCGTTAACGCACATGTTTACATCGCGATTTGGAGTTTTTCGAGTAATCCACACACAGCCATTGCGAAGGTCCAAAATCTCGCTTAATACTGTACTTCAATGGTGCAGTAAATGGCGCGTAGCCTTTAACTCCACTAAGACACAAGTCATAGCTTTCCACAAGAACAGGAAAAATTTAGTAATCTGAGCTTACCTCTAGATAACACAATAATCCCATTCTCTAAATCTGTTAAATTCCTATCTTGAAGTAAGCGTTTTAATTTGATCATTAGGAAACCAAGTAACAGAATAAACTATTTAAGGTGCATCGGGAATATTAATTTGGGGTTATGTGCTAAAACTATCATCACCAAACATCGTGCTTATATTATACCTTTATTTGAATACGGTAACGTGCAATATGTCAGACTATCAATATAAGAGGTTTCAAAATCTTCAGAACAGAGATATTAAAATTTTAAAATAGCCCATAGGCTTTCTAATTATACCCCACCCAAATACCTGAACTCACTCTTAGTCATACCTCCCTTAAAAGAACGTTTTCTAAGGTAGTCATCTCGCTATTACAAACGTGTGCACAAACACAATAATTCTCCAAAATTATGCCCCTCTCAACCTCTTGGATCAGATACCTATCACCTTTTAACCTGATTACTGATTTTCGAGCCACTTAAGTTGTAAATCATTTTTACTGTTGTTTCACGTGAAAGTGGGCTTTTCTCGTGGCACTCCCGTCATCCCTCCCCGCCACAGTTAAATTTTACCTTGATTTTTGTTTGGATGCGATGATCCCAGCCAAGAAAAGGTTTCCGTTACGCGTTAACGCTATCCCTGTAAATAGTAACTTTACTATAATCGTTAAATTCCTTTAATATTAAATTTCAAGTTTCTGTTTTATAATATGACTTATATTTATATTAGTCTTAGCCAGGAACTTGCTGCTTTCGTCACAGCCTTGGTCCATCGGGCTACGCAGAAGTTATAGCAGTAACAACATAGTTCGTTAGATCTTCACACCTCGGCTTTTTGTTTCCAGTTCCCGACTTCCTTGCTTTCGGCTCATACTCTCACAGCTTTTGCTGAATATCTTATATCTTGAGGCTCTTTATTAGTCACGCTTAGTACATATTGAATGTCTAGTTAAATAAAAACAACATTTTGGTGTTATAAGGTCGTTTATTTCTAGTATTAATAATGATAATTTTTTATCTTAGCATTTTGTTATTTCAATCAGTACTTTGACAGAAATTTTGTTTACTAAAGGTAGCGAGCTATATTTTCAGCAATATAATTATTTCAACAATAAGCTTTACCACTTATAATGTCAATTGCACGCTGTAGAAACGTGCGCTATAAATTCAATTAAACGTTATTATTTAAACCAGTTGAAGGCTTGCACTGTCAGTTAACGCTTGTTTTAAGTGGAACACTCTTGAAAAAGCTGTAAAGCAAAACACTGAGTGCCCAATTAAATAAAAATTTTGTTGTTATAATAATTTGTTATTACAATAATTAAAATTATTCTACCACGTGCTAACCGAGCCCTTTAAATAATATAACGTCACATTGCTTGCAAATATCTTCGTAAAGTCTGCAGGTCCTATGAGGATGAATTTAAGATGTGAAAGCATGGAAAAAGATGAATTAATGGCCAAATAATAATAAAAGTACTGGTGTATCGTAGAATGTTCTTTTTTAATTTAGTGTAATATGTGTTTTTATTTTGTACTCAAATTATGTGACAAGTGTCAATTATTTTAATTATATTTCGATACATACTTATTAACATTAATACTATAATAACAATAATACTTTATACTCATAGTTGATGATTTAATTTTTAAAACTGATTTTTTAAGATAATGTATTAAAGCCATGGTTATTTCTACTTTTCATTAAGTTTATGGCTAAGACTAAGAGAAATACGAGAATAAAGTTTACTTGTGACAGGTTGTGTTTATAATTTTTATGATTACACATGAAAATGTAAGTTGTTATTTTAATTCCAGCTAACCCTTCTAAATTAAAATTTACAACACATATTCTTTTAATTACAGCTTGAACTATTGAAGTCGAATATCGATTCCTTATATTTTAGACTAGTTTACCGACTTTGGTTCAGCCTGAAATTGGAATGCTAATGTGCATTGTATTCTAAAGGCTGCGTAAGAATGGCAGGAGTAAAATTAATAATAAAAATTAATAAATAATATAACTTGTCGGCAACATATCTAACGCCGCATCTGTGTTGTGTACTATTCGTGCTACTTTTAGTTTTACTTAGTTTGTACTACTACTATATCAACTTTAGGCTGAGTTTATCCTAACGTTAGATCAACTACTACTATTAGTACTACTCAGTACAATATACTACTGACGAATGCTATACATATTCTGTCTTTTGGTTGGATAAGAACATTTGTCACTAGATATTTTGTGTACTTGTCAATGCAATGAAAATAAGTCAAAACACAAAATTTAATTGTAAGTTTATTAAAATTTTTATTTGAAGATCAAAACTTTTAGGTTTAATTTTCGAGATTTATTATGAAAATATAATTTAAAGCACTAATATTTGCTTTATTCAGCAAACAAGTCTGATATGTTTCATGTTTGAGCTTGGACCATAAAATTAACATATAACAATAACGGATTATTTGTTCTTCAAGGTTGTCCTTGTACATCCACCTTCGAGAAAAAAAGTGAAGGTTAAACACCTTTAATTTTTCAGGAAATCATCACTTATGATTCTAAACTCTTGTAAATTGCTGGTCTTCACTACACTGACAGGAACTCATTTCGTAACCTAATCACATTGTCAGATAACTGTCTTAAGAGCCTTTCCTGTCTTTTCCAAAACTTCAAGTTATGTCCTCTTCTCCTATTGTTTTTAGTATTTCAATAAATTATATGTATTTGGTTTTAGAAAGTCATTAAAGTCATGATAAAACATTATTTAGTAGTACACATACATATGCAGTGAATATTTCATCATTAGGAGTAGTAACATAACATTGCAGTACAAGGGACATGCTGGTCCATTTTTGCTGTACCATCTACTAACCTGAACTATATAAAAAACAACTCAAAACCAGCTCTTTTAAATCAAACATTTATCAAGCCTTTCCTTTAACTCATTTAAATTTACTGCCACCACCACCTCTGAAAAAATACTATTCGAAAGGCCAACCACCCTGTTAGAAAATTAAAACTGTCTTAGCTGAAGATGACTCTTACCCTGCCAGAATTTGTGTCCTTTAGTTCTACAACTCTCACCAATAAAAAAAAAAGGTTATGCATCAATACTAAATAATCCCTTTAACAGTCTTAAACACCTCAGTCAGACCCCCTTAACAGAAAACAATTTCAGAGATATTAAACATGGATAAATATAACTAAAATCTTGGCCATTTCAATTTTTGCAAAAAGATATTTTGTGGGAAAGAAATGTTTTCATATGTACTTTTGACCAAGGCCTGTCAGAGAAATTTCAGGCCACAGAACTTCCCCTATATGTGTTTCTTATTATCACTATTTTAGATATTCATACTATCCAGTAATTAAAATACTGCCATTATGATTTTTAATTATTTTGAACTAATTCAAATTTGTTCACATTAATTTATTAGCATCATACCTCACAAAAATAACCAAAATTAAGGTTTTTGGTTATTCCAGCTATCCAAGTAATTGAAATATTGTCAATATATTTATTTCTAAGCACAAAACTATACAATGAGTAATCTGTGGTTTGCCCATTGTGATTGAAACCTGCCTTTTCGCATAATAACTTTGTTTTTAACCAGCTTGTGAGAATAATTGATTAGTTGAATGTAATCCATTAATAATCCCATTGATTAATCAAGTAGCAGATTCTACTAATTGCCCAGTTCTATTATAGAACATGACAAAAATAATTTATTTTTTTCAAAGTGAAGCTAACAATTTTTACCCTAAGGATGTTAAAAATGGCTAAATCTAGCTTTGTAGAAGGTATATAATGGGGTGAACAGGTTGGGCATTATATTTAATGAGGGCGAAAGGAAAGTGGCATTTTCTGACAAAGAGCACATTTTTCAATGAACCAGACTACATCAAGGCATTCCTGTTTTAGAACTGTATACTTTCATTGTGAAGAATATTTTAACAAGACCAAATAAAGATACAATTACATACATTTAGTCTTTTCTTTAACTAATAGTAATACACAGTAGAGCTCCCACATTAACTCATTCACTGCGACTGCGACAAATGTTTCCCATTGTTGACACTGCTTATACTTTCTTCTGCTGGGTCCATGTTTATCATCTTGACTATCATCACTCGATGGGTTGCTAGCATCCTCTTGTTTCACTGCTTCTTCATCATCACACATTTGAACACCACTTGACTCACTTTCACCATCTTCTAAACTGTCTGAATCAAGCATATTTATATAGTAATTAGGGTTACTTTTTGCCACTCTAGTGATGCGGATACTGTTGGCATGCAGTTGTTGTTCATTCCGCTTAGGAATCTTGTTGGTTACTAAGGGGCTGAGTGGGAAACATTGAGGAAAACCATATATCAACATCAGGTGGGATGCCAGTAAATACTTTCCAACTCATTTTACTCCCATATTTCACATGTGACAATTTTGAGAATGGGATATACACCTCTACACATAGAAAGCATCTGTGTTAGAGATTTGCAAGGCACTAACCTTTAGGAAACTTCCATTTAAACTCACAAGATTTCTCTTGATTTGTGCTACTGCGTAATGACATTATTATGCAGCAAAAGAAGGGCAACAAAACCTCCATACTCATTGCATTGAAAGGTTTGACTAAGGAAAAAATAGGTTTGGTAATTCTGAATTCGAAAGACAATATACAGTCTGGACTTCTTGGATATGAGATGTGTAGTGTAGATTGAGAAATTTCAGAGAAAAATTCTGGACAGACAAACGCAAGCATATCATTGATATAGATGTTTGTTTAAAGACCTTTATATGTAAACAGTTTATATGTAGTCTCAGAAAAAATTGCTAGTCAACTGATTAAAGGTCTTCTCCAAGAATATTATAAATGAAAACAATTAAGAAATTCTAATTGAATATGTGTGTGTGTTCTTTATTATCTTAAGACAAAATATATGAAAAAAAAGAAAAGTATACAAGTTACGAAAGAGTACATGTATACATCATAAGGTTAACCTGACAGTGCAAAATATCTGATCTTTGTATCATTGTTGAATTACAATAAATTATTTTTAACTTGTTTAAATCTCCTAGGAATGTCCTTATTAAATGTTTCATATGTAAAATTGAGCAGTATTTAGATTGAATGATTAAGATAAATTGTATGACAAGTCTGTATTTTGAGTATTTTTTGTTTTTTATTTTTACTTGTGTCTTTGTGTTTCACTAGATCATAAGTATTTTCAACAATGGGTAAACGAAAGACTTCAGCACCACAGAAGTCAAGTGAAAGTAAGAGACAAGCATTGACATGGATAATGGGACAACACAATCTAAAAAATGATGCATCTTTACCAAGTAGCTCCGGGAATCAGTCTTTTTGTTCAAGTCAGCAATTGAGTGAAAATGTGGATTTGATAATCTTGGATGAAACTGAAGAAGACCTTGAGGAAGGTCATTCTTCACCTGATGTCATTATATTAGATGATTGTGAAAAAAAGTCTGGAAATAGTGTATTACCGAAATACTGCAATGGTAAGTTTCCTTTCAAAGTATTACCAGTAAATAAACCATTGAATCCAGTTTATTCATTGGAAAGTAGGAAGGATGAGCAATGAGCCTTATGCTGCTGGAACAATGTAAAAATACATTGACCTGCCGACTAAACACACTACAATGACCTTTGTTAATTAAAAATTTCATGGTATCCATGAGTGCTAAGACATGCAAACACTTTGCAGATATAGCTGTCTTTGCACTGTCACTCTTTTGAGATAATCTCTGGTCTGCACATGTTTGGTGTGGCTGTAATGCTGCACATTGTGCAAAGATGTTGACAGCAGTGTCCTTCGATAGTAAGACAGGCTATATCTCTAGATTTCAACCTCCTTTAAGTTTCATTGAGAATCACCAGTCACTTGGGCAGTGCTCGTTACTCTGGATAAGTTGGGATGTCCTTACCTTTAAAGTAACATTTGGTTTCAACAATTTGGTAGATGACCTCAGGCAAAGACAGACTGTTAGAACTTTTCTCTGATCCATTAAAAATGACTATCCATTATCAAACAAGCAAGTACATGCACACACACTGTGTTTGTGTTAGTTTAAATAATAAAAAAATTTTTAATCAATATTTTATATTATGTCCAGTCTTTTTATTTTTTTCTTATGAACTTAGTTATTCAAGGAACTCAAAATTAGTTTGTGATAAATGTCTTCTTACTCAGTGGACCTTTTCCATTGCTCTAAGAAAAGTCAGTTTCATCAGAAAATACCACAGCACTTTACATGCTTTTCAAAGTCTATCAGTCATGCAGAAATTACTTTTAAGGGCTTTTTTTTTAGTAATCCAAAGATAAAGAAGTGCATGGGAAGTATCTGCAATTAGGATAGTGTGATTTCATATTTGTATATGCCTCTTGTGGAGGAACTGGCAGGTTTACTTGAATGTTTGTCTAGATGTTTTGTTTTGATGGAGCCTGATCTTAATGATATTTTGTCCATTTGCAATATTCTTGTACCATTAAAAAAAAATTATCACTGAGAAAATAATAATAAATTATGAAAACGTACCTCCATTTGTTAAATGCCAGATACTGCTTTTAAAACTCTGGACAATTGGTTTTTCATTTGGCTATGCTAGAAATTTGGAAACAGGGCTCTTTTGTCACTTTTGTAGACCTAAACCCATGTGATTGTTTACAGTTTTGAGGGAGGTTTCTACTTTAGCTGCAGTGGACTACTTTGGTGACAGGCAGTTTAACTTTCTTCAGTATTCATGATAAACAACTGGTATTTGGTCACGGAGTATTCTGCTTTCTTTTCCTGATAGAATTGTGCCTTGCTTAATGCTAAAATTCTGTGCATTGTGTGATTTTATAATTGTGGAATAGAAGAATTTATAATCAGAAAGTTCTTTAATGTAACTGCCAGAAGAGGTCAATTGTAGGCACCATCTGCACTTGCAAGTCACTATACTTAAACTAAATTGCAGTAAAAGAATCATGGCTTTTAATCTATGTAGTCACAGGCCTAGAGGATAGCTAGGGCTAAGGTGATTGTTTACGCAAATTGTTACCATAGCTCATGAACAGTTTTCATTATATTGTTCCTAAATTATTTTATATATGTATGTGTTTTAGAATCTAGTTGTAATTGGTTTGGACAATTTATTATAGTTTCTTTTTTGTATATTTATATATTTTAATTTCTACTTTTTTAGATGCTTCTAGACAAAAGACAGTTATTCTACCTCTTGTTAAAAAGAAAGAATCAAGACAGCAGCCTAATGATGAAATTTTGAATAATTACCTTTCCTTAAATAATTCATTCATTCCTATTTATAAAAAAAGAACTGAAAATGAGAAGTGGAAGAGATCAACTTATCTTCTTGGACACCTGATCTTGGAAGTGTCCAGTGAAAATACTGATATTTTGCAGAATATGTTGACTTCAGTAATATATCTATATTTTGGATCCAGTATGAAGAGCTGTCTTCTTTATTGGGAAGAAGAGGAGGATGGAAAGAAAACAGTGAGTTTTTTAGATGTTTTAAAATGTGAATTTAGAACCTCAGTTAAATCAAAGCTTCACATGTATTAATATGTAGCTGCAAAAAAACAACAGAAAATTTTGTATAAAACTTTCTATTAACACTTATTTTATTTATGTATTTAAGCAAGATCATGAAAGTAATCCAAAAATTGCATTGAACACAGTAATTATAAATAATTTATATAATTTTTGAACAATCAGATATTACTTGTGTATTTTAAGGTTGTATCAAGACAGTTTATTTTAGATATATCAAGCAGATGTATAGTTTTCAAGGTTTTTACTTCTTAGGTTTCTTTAGATATGTAGTTAGGAAAAAACATTCAAAATTAATTACAGAATACTGTAACTTAATCTATCGAGCTGTGACAATCAAACACTTGAAAACTTTTTTTTTAAATGTGGTATTTTCATATATAACTAACAATCTCTAAGTTTACTAGGAAGTGTGAAATAATTAGTAAATAATCTTGAAGTTAGAAACAATAAGAAACAAATGCAAATTTGTGTTACAGTGTTATCTGTCCTTTCTTTTGCTGTAATGATTTTCATGAAATCCTGTGTGCATAAAACAGATTAAGTTTTATTGTCATGATGAAGAGTTTGACAACATTAGTTTATTCTTAATTTATAGTTTGACTAGATCTGAAACCCAGTGGTGAATATCTATGTTTAAAACTGTTGTATGTTTCTGAAAACTTCAGTACCTTTAATGAGGTAAAAATATCAAATTTAAGTAGATGTGAATAATCATGTAAAGCATTTTTATTTTAAAGTTTAAAAAAATGATGTTTAGATCTATATTTCTAAAGTAATTGAAAAACAAACAAAAAAATTAGTAAAATAATAATTTTTCTATATTGTATAAGCATAATTGTAAGAATCTCAGCATCAAAACTGCTAAAATATTTCACTAAAGAAACCGTAACTTTTTCTGTCCATGATGTTTTTTGAAAAATTATTTTATTGATAAACATTCCATGATACTCTGTGGTGTATAGATTAGTTATGGGATATAGCTTGCTAGTTTTACTTGCGAGTCATTAACAAAATAGGCTTATAGTTATCACAGTATTGTAATTATGATGTCAGTGCAAGTTTTATTAAAAATAAATTGTTAATTGTAGCAAGGTGAGACACTGAGTTTGAAAACATCAAGTTTTAGTGATAACTTCTGATCATCTAAAAAAGTTTTTACATTGTACTGAAATACCAAGTACTTTCTAAGTTTACATGAATTTTTTTCTTTTCTTTGTAATTATCTCTAACATTTTGTTATTTAAGCACAACAGGACATTGCACTTAAGTTATCATCTTTATTTCATTTCACCACGATGTTTCATAAACTCAAACTTGCAAAACGTTTGGATTTTAAAATTAAAGAAATTAAGTACTTTTGCAGTATAGTAATTTCCATATAAGGTTATGGATACATATTTCTCTAATGCACAGTTGTTTGAATGATGGAATCATATATTTAGCTATGAATTTGTGGCTTTGGCAGAAGTCTTAAACTTTTGTTTGTTGTTACTTGGTTTTTGTCATTTTACCCAAAAAAAGAACTTCACCTCGATAAGGTAAACAGTAAAAAAGTGATTTTCAAATTGTGAATATCGTACGAAAAGTAATGTGATAATCAGTGTAGTTTTCTATATTGTAATAATCTTTTGTGGTTAAGATACTTATCTGTCTTCTGTAATACATTTTGATGCAAATTACCTGACCCATTCTTATTATTGACTTACTATTTTTTTCACTTACTTATTAACAAGAGTCATGTATTATGATATTCTAGGCTGGTTACTGTCCTGTCACCTGTCAGGCAGATTACTATAGTCTTCGAGCTTTGTCAAAAAAGAAAACTTTGATGTTAATGCTAGCAGAAAACAGCCTGAAACAAGGTCTACTCTATATAGAAATCTATCTGAAGGAAATCTTTTCTCTTCAGTACCCAAGTCAACCTGTACATTCATCAGTTAACACAGATTTTCAGAGTCTTATGAAAGTCTTGTTTGGTATTGATATGCCTGGTAAATATTTTATCTATCTAAAATTAACATTATTAAAAATTGTTAATTTAAAAAGGGTAAATAGTGATCTTCAAAAAATTACAGAAACAAGCTAGGTAGCTTAAAGTGAAAATGCAATAGCAAAAAAGGTAAACAAACAAGCTTAAAGTTTTGAAGCATAGGGTTGACATTATTTCCCCAAGCTACAAATCCCTGTTTTGACTCTACGAAATATTACAGCTTTTAGACACAGAGTCAAAATAAAGATTTGTAGCTTGAGGAAATAATGTCAACATTAAATCTGAAGCCATAAGCTTTTTTATTTTATTATAAGTTATATCTTTTACAGTAAGTGTGTTTACTTTTTTTTTTCAGTTGCATTTTCACTTTAAGCTATCTTGTTTCTGTAATTTTTGAAGATTCCTATTCTCCCTTTTTAAATTAACAATTTTCAGTAATCTTGTTTCTTTTAGTGTTTTTTTTTTATATTTTAATTTCTTAACAAATAAATATATTTCACCAAAAATATATCCTTGAATGAGTATTGAGAAAAGAATTCTTAAAACCATCAAAATGCAAAGCAAAGATAAACTAGCTAGAATAACAAACACCTCGGAACATTTTGTCTTTCATGAGACATGTATCAGAATATTTAAAGCTGTACAGTACGTGGAAGTGGAATATTGGGAATGAATAATTGAATCCTATTAACTGTTGAGGATTATTAATTTTACCCAAAATCACACAATGTTATGAACAATGTAAATTGGAAAGCAATTTTTGTTTAAAAACATTTTAATGTTTTCAAATTCCTTAATAGTTATTCATAAGTAATAGTGACTTATAAACACATTTGGTTGTTATTTTAATAATATTTGTTCTCAATAAATAAGGGCCCTGCATGTTTTTATGCTTTGTTAATGACTCGTATATTTTTTATATCTATGTAATGCATTGCTTTATGGTGTTTATACAGTGTATTATTTTGAACTACTAAAAATCTTAATTGAAGTCATCTTACAGAGAAGTCTCCTCAGGAAACCACTCTTTATTGATTCACATTCTCCTCATGAAGTCACACACTCCAATGACCCATACTTCCTTTAATAGTCACTTCTAATAAATAATATACCACTCAGGAAGTCACACTGCTGTTTATCAACCCCTTCAGAAAGCTGCACACACAAACACAGATATACCCACCACCAACACAGGAAACTGCACAGTCTACTATTAACAGCTAAAGAACCAAGTTAAGAACATTTTTAGTTTGTGAACATCCTTGTCATGCATGATTAGAAATATGTCTTTCACAACTACTAGAATGAGAAAGCACAAGTAATAGATAATTTTTAGAGTATTCATAATGAGATAATTTCACATAAAGAGCTTTACATAAAAATAAAATAATTTTTGTTGATTGTTAAACACAAACACAGCACAGTGCTCGTACTGTTTATGGATTAAGTATTCACAGACTTTTACAGTGTTCAGTGAGCTACACTTTAATGTAAAATACAGTATGCAACATTGAAATAATACTTGCAGACATACGTAAAGTAGCATTGTTTAATTTTTTCTTGGCCACTCATCAAGAAAGAAGAAATACTATGATACATTTTGTTATCAGACTTTAACAAGAAAACTGTACATAAAACTGTCATTTTGTTAAATAATGTTTATACCAAAACTACTGTACTTTAGTGACAACTTGGTAATGAGGGTAAGATAAGATATTGTATTCTGATTAGACTGTCTATTTTTTAAATTTCATTGTTGTCATTAAATATGAAATAATTGTGATCCCCAAATTGTTTTTATATTTTGAAGTGTGTAAGGACCATCTTTTAAAAGAAAGACATGATGTGGAAGCTTTGTACTCAACTGTTCGGAGTCTACAAATTTCTGATGAGAAGAATACAGAAAATACTAGTAAAATGGTCCAGCATCCTCTTTTGGTTCCAACTTTGCGACCATATCAGAGAAGTGCTGTCAACTGGATGCTTGAGAAAGAACAGCGTATTTCTGACATGTCTTCTAAGTTGCATCCTTTGTTTATTGAGATTCAGACTCCTTCACAAAATACCTTGTACTACAACAAGTATGGAGGATTGTGAGTATTACTGCATACTGACAATTGTCTTTTTGTATTTTATTATATAAACATTTGTAGTACAAGTTAGTATAGGAAGAATAAAGAAAATAAGAAGATATTAGCTTTGATTCTTTCTACTGATTTAGCCTTATTATTTAATTGGACGGATTCTGAAGGATCATTTATTGGGGATTGTATAAAATAAGTTGCTCAGTATTTCATGAACCAAATTGTACTACTGTTAACCCCTTACTATGCAACATACACTCTTCATACTGTTACATCTACTCTGCCATTAACCCAGCATATATACATCATACATAAGTGTTTCTTAATAAATTAATTTAAAATGTTAAATAAGCTTTATACAGCATTGCATATCATAGCTGACAAAAATACATTGTAAACTAACACGAAGTGAAAAATGCATTGTTGGATTAAAAAAATGATAGGGAATAACCTTTTAGTAATTCTTCCACATTGTAAAAAACAACTTCAGAGTATAAATTTATTCAATAAAAAGTTTTATTTAATTCTATATATAAAATTTTTTTCAGATTACAAATTTTAGTTTTGACTTGGTTTCAGCAAACTCTGAAAGAAAACATTACTGTTTATGAATTTCCTGAATTTTTTTCTTATTATAACACAGCAGTCATGCCCAGTAGAAATAAAGTTAACATAGTTTTGAAAAAAAACGGAGCCAATTTGGACCTAGTAACTTCGTTTTTAGCTAATTTCTGTTTCTAAATTTTGGTTGTCATGATTTGATATAATTGCCTACATAGGCAAAGTCAAAGTCAGTTAGGTCTTTGAAAAGTCTAGTGATTTAAACACATAATAAAAGTATCTTTTATGGGTTTTTTCAACTGTATAAGCCAATGTGCCTTAAAGTTCGGTGAAGATTCTTTTAGAAGTTGGAACAAAGTGATAAAAGTTTAGCTTGGTGATATATTACTAGTAAAGCCCTTGATACTGTTAACTTCCTCCACAATTACAGTCCTAATTTTTTTTTAAATTGCACGAAGCATTCTTTATCATTTTATACTTCACTTAAATTATGATATTTCATTATGATAGTAAAATAAATATTTTTTGTGGAAAAAGGAAGGTTGAGAATTGCTAGACATAGATAATTTCGCTGTTAACTGTATCAGCCGCATTCTAATCTGTAGAAAGTTCACCTCGAGGTTTAAATTTTTTCCATTACTTTGTTTTTGAAATTACAATAAAAAAAATATGATGGGTACAGGAAATTGATACACCCAGATGTTTAAGGGTTAATATGAATTCAAACATTTTTTTTCTGCAATGTTTTTTTGTTGCTGAATATTTAAAGTTTTATATTGAAGGAAAGTGTTGGTAATTGGTAAAAATCTAAACGTTCACATTTTAACAAAACATTATGAATTAAACACTGTTTTGCCTTAATACAATACCAGTGTTTTTTTTTACTTCTAGTGTGATAGTAAACTACACATTTTTAGCTACAATATAGCAGCTCATAGAATGGCTCTGAGTTTTTCAAGTAAAACCTTTTAGCTCATAGTTCCATCATCTCTTGACCGATTTGAGATCTAATTAGTTTTCAACTAAGAGATAAAACTCTTTTGATTGATGTATGTAACCAAGCCCAAGGTCTCGTAGATTAATTGACTCTAATCTTGCCAAAAATAATTTCAATTTGAGGGTAGGCTGATGGAGATCCTGATGAGTATATGTGCCCCTCATGTTTTGTATTGCTGGTGCACAAAATATAGCTAATAAAATGGAAAAAAAAAAGGTTTCATGGTTTAATTGACTCTAATTCTGCCTAAAATAATTTCAAGTGCCACCACTATCTTGGATTCCCTTCTGTTATATTTGTTTGCTTGACATATTATTTTTTCTGCTTTTTTAAGTTTTTATTAATAA